TGAGCCAGCGCTGTGTTTAGACTAATGCTTCAAGGCGTCACCTGCTTACATAGCCGAGATACCGGGTGCTCATATTATAAGGCAAGGTTATAAAACCATCTTTTAAGATCATTTTAGTGAAAGTTTCATCCTTCAAAGCGTACCATTCACTGCTCAAATACTAAACAACCTGCTTCCATTGAAGATATAAAGGGGGTTCATATTATAAGGTAAGGTTATAAAACCACCTTTTAAGATCATTTTAGTGAAAGTTTCATGTTCCTATCTCATAGAATTTAAGAACAATGATGAATAAATAATTTTCGAGCAAAATTTAAATGGCCGGCTGAATATATTACCGCAGGAGCCGCGGCCGCGGAATTTAAATGACCACGTCAAAGGGTTAAATACGGTACTCCTGACAACAGGCCAGTGAAAAATCTAACAATCTACAGCAAATCCATCAATTATTATGGGCGTTATAACATAGGTGTGCAGCTGGACGAAACATACACGTCGAACCCCCCCAGACGATTTAAATACCTGACGAAACATACACGTCAAACCACGCTGAACGGTTAATTAGTTGTTATTCCAATTTAATCCTCCATTTTGATGATCAGACAATGTATGTGGTTTTAACTACATTTAATACTAGGATAACTATTAACAGATCGTATGTTTTACTTTATGGTATCAGTGTCAAAATAATATCAGCATAGACTGAAATGTGATGTGTGATCAGTCTGAGTTTATCCAGATTTCCATGAACTTTATTTTTAATGTATTCTAAAGCAACATTAAATATTAATGACAATTTTATTTCAGACTATATAAGATTGGAAGTTCTTACAGCAGTTAGTGTTAAGTTTACAGCCTAGAATGTGACACTGTATATATAGTTTAGTATGTAGATAGCAACATTTCACAGGAACTTGTCATTCTCATGGTGGAAATGGAGGATTGAGGTCCCACTGAAATATTGGTATCAGTCTGCCACACTTTCTTCACACTGTTTTCAATAAGATGTTGGACAGATGTCTACACCCTGTGTTTGATGTGAACATTTTAATTAACCTGCCTCATTTATACAGGCACTCCTCGATTTACGCAACATTTACAGTCCAAAAATGAGTTGCATAGCATGAGATCACATCGTTAAACTTAATTTCCCATCAGAATCGATGCAAGACTCTGAGATCTACAAAAAAAATCAGAATAGCGTTTCTGATACTTAAATTTGTTTTGTGCAGTACAGTTGATCCTTTTTGTTTTAATATTAACACAATTTCAGTATGAGTAAATTGTGTTTATAATTATTTACTTTTGAAATACTATGCTAGACATTACTAAGAAATTGGATTGCATAGTGTCCTTGAAACATGCACAGAAAACCTGAAAATATAGGTGAATAGACCAGTCGTTCTGTCACACACATGCTGACACTCAGTTCTCTGCACTCTTACTTATGCATTGTTAACTAGTATGTAGATGGCAGAAACATTTGGTATTAATAACGAGGAAATAATAAAAGTTAACATTCATGGATCTCGCAGTAGCTGCCTTGCTAAATGTGTGGTGGGTGATTGACTGATGAGTCATTGGGTTTTGTAGGGTTGTGGTTGAAACCAGCAATAAAGAAGGGGTTGAGAATTAAGTGTTCATGTCCACGCCATAGCTCAAGTGGTTAGTTGCTGGCTTCCCACTGCGGCAGCCCAGGTTCGATCATGGGTCTGGTCAAGTGGGATTTGTGGTGGACAAAGTGGCGCTGGGGCAGGTTTTCTCTGAGTACTTTGGTTTCCCCTCCCAATCTTCATTCCACCAATTGCTCCACAATCGCCCTTACCTATTATCTGGGGCTGGTACAATAGGCCAGAAGTGGCTGCAGTACGAGGGACTTACCCCCACCCCACTAGCATTAAAAAAAAACATTCATGTCCATTGGAGTTGATGGTAAAATTTCACGGGGGTATATGGTGGATCAGATGGCTATGATTCCTTTAAATGGTTGACTTAGTTGCTTCCCAGCCTCTGATTTTGTTGTGTGGCTTGTGCTTCCCCTTTGGATTGACCCTTTATTAATCCTACACTTTGAATGAAGTGTAGGACCTTATTAAAGGGCCCCCATACTGCTGTGTGTGTCTGTATCTGGTAGCCTGTGTCACAGTAGTTCCATTCGTCCTTCTGTGATGGAGAGTTTATAATCTGTAGGCAACATTTCAGTAGTACAGTCTGTTATGTAATTTGACACTTTGTAGACTGCTCATGTCAAGCCGGGTCCAGACTTGTTGCGTATCTCCATTGCGTATTGACTGATGCAACGCGGCAGAATTTCTCCTTCCAAGAAGGCAACGTAGAAATGACGAGCTGAATCTCAGCTTTCAGCCAGATTTCAATCAGCAATGACTACACCTAACCTGACGGTAGCAGCGGCCGCGTACATCTATCTTCACTATGCTATAAGGGAAAGAAGAAAGAAATCATGATGTTTGTGGATATCACCGATCTGTGCCAGTAGGAAAGTATACAGTGTGTCCAATCTTTTGGCAGACCTAAATTTTCAGTCAGTCTGTTCAGTTCCTTTCCTATCTCCTCCCATGTGTCCTGCTTTTTTGTTTTATTGTAATGTTCTGGGTTTTGGGGATTCCAAATCACGTCCCTCTTCTTATATTCATCAGTTAAATATATAGTGCTCTCCTTACTCCACTCCATTCAGAGTATAAACAAAGAATCAAAAATAGAAGAACGCACACCGGTGATGACTAAACTCCAGCTGTCTTTTGTGCGGAGCCGATAAGCAAAGCGCGATGCAACCACGTGCACGTCCAGACTGGAACCACTGCAACGCGTGTCGTCCCTTTGATGCGATGGGAAAAGACTGCCAAGTGAACGAACAGCCCGTTGCATATCACCATTTTGCAATGGAAGGATGATACGGGGTACCATCCACACTGATCTGATACGGGGATACACAACAAGTCTGGGCCCGGCTTTATAAGGACATTATATCAATTCAGTTTTATAGCTGCTAAACTCACACTTACAAGAATCTCCATTTTCAGAGTTTAAGAGTCAACTAAGCTAGAAACCAGCATGAAGCAGGCTGTAAGTGCAACATGTGGCTTGATCAAATGTGGGATTATAATATTTAATTTCTTTCACATGGTTGTAGTAAGATCATGAAATTAATTCATAAAGTTACTTCTTCTATGGATATGTGTTTTCTAATGCAGCGTCATCTTGTATTAGGAATCATCTTAAATTTTGGTACACTTTAATACCCTGTGAAAAAGTGGCTGGTATTATAAGCTGTTACATGAAAAATTTGTCTGCTAGAAGAATTCTTGTTCTCATCCTGATTCCAAAATTTTTTCCCAAATTCTTGTCTTAGAAAAAGTTATTCTTGCAAATGCTTACCATTTAACAAAGCTCAGTGAATACACAGGGTAATTAAAAAAGAATGAACCGATTTTATTACGCAATATTTTATTAAAGGAAAGTAATACAAACCTCCAGCCAAGTCACAAGTATTCTACTCACAATCAACTTATTTCCTGTCGTACAAGTGTTCAGTGTGGCCACCACCTGCAGCATGGGCAACATCAATGCGATAAGAGAATTCCTCCCAGGCGCGTATCAGCATATCACGATGCACTGAGTTAATCGCTGTTGTTGTTCGATGTTTAAGGTCATCGAGGTTGGTGGGTAGCGGTGGAACATAAACATGATCTTTTACATATCCCCACAAGAAGAAATCACACACAGTGAGGTCGTGGGATCTTGCAGGCCAAGCACAAAGAGCGAGGTCTTGGACCCCCTTCCGACGAATCCATCGCTGGAGCACTTTTTCATTTAAAAAAACTTGCACTATCAGCTGCCAATGGGGCGGTGCTCCATCTTGTTGAAAAATGAAGTAATGCGAATCTGCTTGCAATGAGTGAAGAGCCAGTTTTGGAGCATATGGAGATAGGTTTGTCCTGTAACGGTGTTTCCTTCAAAGAAAAGGGGACCATAAACTTTGTCCTGAGACACAGCACAGAAGACGTTCACCTTAGGGGAATCTCTTTTGTGCTCATCTGTTTCATGTGGGTGCTCTGTTCCCCAAATACGCATATTGTGACGACTGACTGTGCCGCTCAGGTGAAAAGTCGCTTCATCACTAAAAATTAAATGTGAAATGAAGGTTTCGTCTTCCATCATCTCCAGCATCGAATCGCAAAATTCCATCCACTTCCGTTTGTCGTCATTGGTAGGTGCCTGAACGAGCTGCAGTCTGTATGTTTTCAAATGTAGACGTACCGTTAGCACACACCAGACAGTGGATTGAGGGATCGCAAGCTCACGGCTAGCTTGATTTTTTTACTTCTGCGGGCTCCTCTCAAAGGCAGCATGGATTCTCGCCACTTGTTCCTCTGAGACTCGTCGTCCTGGACTTTTTCCTTTACACAGACATCTACTCTCTTTAAACTGTTGAAACCACCATCGAATGTTCTTAGGACAGGGTGGATTAATGCCGAATCGCCTTCGAAGAGCATGCTGCACAGTGACAACCAAATTTTTTTCGGGAACTCGAGAACGCAGAACGCCTTTTGCTGAGAACTCACCATTCCGAGGGTAAACGAAAAATTGAACGTTGCTGGAAAAATGACGCGACTTCAGCGCCCCTGTGGCAGCCATTCACAACTTAGATAACTCATTCCTTGAAGATGCTTGAGGACTGAAGCAGTGCATCATGAAATCGGTTCATTCTTTTTTAATAACCCTGTATTACTGTTGTATTCTTACTTGAGGTGCATATATTACAATTTTTTAGCCTGTTTTTTGTTCTGTTGTTCCAGCACATTTGTTTTCTGTTTACAGGTTGAAAAAATCGTAACTATTATGTCAAATCCTCGTCAGTACAAGATTCCTGACTGGTTCCTTAACAGACAGAAGGACATTGTGGATGGAAAATACTCTCAGGTATTTAATATTTGTTGTATTATCAAGCAGCCAGGGCTTAAGCTGACCACCCACCTCTATTCAGTGGCAAGGTCAAGAATGGCAAGAACTATATTCCCACTTACCCATATGCCTTCATGGTGTGGTGCATAATTAATCCCTGACTGGAAAGGGCATTTTATGAGCTCAGAAGTGAGATATATGTGGATTTTATCTGTGTAACTGCAGTTATTTCTAAGCAGTATTTGTGCCTGTAGCAGATAGTTCTGTGTTTTGGTTATCAGTGCAAGGGATCATGATTATGTTAATGATTACAAGTTCTGTGTGAACAAATTTCACATGTAAAACTTCTGTGTGGTGAAGGCATGAAACTCTAATGTTGTGTTTCAAATTCAGCCTTTGGTGAGTTGGGTCTCTTTGAACATTCATGCCTTCTCTGGAAGGTATGCACATTAAACGGCTCATGTACTGCTCACTGTGCGTGCAGCTGGTAGCCTGTGCTATAGTAATTGCATTCAGGTTCAGCATCTTCTATCCCTGATAGAAGGTTTGTAATTTGTATGCTATATTGTGATGATACAACATATCATTCCTGTCGTGTGCAGTGCTTGGAGAATTTGTAGCAAACATGTTCTTATTTAGAATAATTATGCATGTTAACTATATGTCTCTGCTTCAGCTGGCATATTTATATTGTACATGTGGTTTCTTTTTATTCACAGCTCACATCCAGTTACTTGGACAGTAAATTGCGTGAAGATCTTGAGAGACTGAAGAAGATTCGTGCTCACCGTGGTATGCGACATTATTGGGGGTGAGTCACCGAACGTCGCAGAATTTGAGAGTAGTAGTAGCTATATTTGTAAAGCCCATATACGATTTTAAATTATATGCTATTTCAGTGTCCATATCTTGGTAATGTACTCATAAAGTAAGTAAAGTAAAGGTATCCCTGTAACAGGCCGTGGAGGCCCATAGAGTTGTGAGATGTTGAGGTTCCCACATTTTCTAGACAATCGGCTCATAGATGGCGATAAGGTTGTCAGTCTTGCACACCGACCACGCTTTACCCCCCAGAATATTCCAAGAATATTCCTGGTACTCATTTCTGTTAGAGGCTGGGTCAACCCCAGGGCCATAGTGCAGCCAGAAGGATTAGGTCAATAAAAGAAAATCCATTGACCTCATTTGGACTTGAACCCACAACCTTCTGGCTTGTAGCATAGTTCCTCAACCAACTCTGCTAGGTAATGTACTTGTAACAAAGGAATTTAATGCTAGATCCTGTATCCATTGGTATTGACACCTCAAGGCTTGAGAGATATAGAAGTCTGAAGAGGTACCATAGGTTAAATACAGCAGAAATTTATACCCCTCAGATTAAAAACTGCACATATACTTTTCACCTTTAGGAAAGGAATTTCCATTGAAAATGCAACCTTTAAGTTAACAGTCAGTGTGTTGAAATCTATTAATAAAAAATGCATGTTGGAATATTCTGTGACTTGGCAAAGGCTTTTGAGCGTGTAAATCATGAAATTTTATTAACTAAATTAAATTTTTTTTTGGCATTCAAGGAACAATGTTAAGTTGGTTCAGATCCTACCTAACAGAAGAGAAAAGATTGAAATAAAATCATCAAATTCAATCCAAAGTACCTACTCAAACTGGGGAATAATAAAACATGGAGTTCCACAGGGGTCAATTTTGGGGCCTTTGCTTTTCATAATTTATATTAAGGACCTCATCAGTACCTATAATATTTGCAGACGACACTAGTGTTATAATTTCTGGTAAAAATTTAGATGATTTCTGCATGTTATCAAGCAAGGTTCTTTCTCAAATAAGTAAATGGTTTTCTGCAAACAATCTGTCCCTGAACCTAGAAAAAACAAATGTAATAAAATTTATAACAGAAGCTCACCACAATATCCATTAAACATAGGATATAATGATAAATATATAGAAGAGGGAGTAAACACAAAATTCTTTGGCTTGCAAATTGATAGTAGTTTAAACTGGAAAAACCATATCAATCAGTTGATTCCAAAGTTGAGTACAACATGTTATGCAGTTAGATTCATGTTACATATTAGTAACATTAACACTCAAATCAATCTGTTTTGCTTATTTGCACTATTTAATGAAGTATGGAATAATTTTCTGGGGTAATTCATATGACAGTAAAAAGGTATATACATTGCAGAAGAATATTGTTAGAATCATGATGGGTGTCAAATCCCATAATTCCTGTAGAGGTCTAGTTAAGAGACTACAGATTTTAACTTTTCCTTGTGAATATATATATATATATATATATTCATTAATAAACTTCATTACAAATAACGAAGAACATTTTCAGTCAAATGCGGATGTACACGGTGTTAACACAATTTCACTTGTTATTTCACAACATGTTTCGGCACTATAGTGCCATCATCAGGAGCTCCATTTACGTTAATCTATTTCATTGCTTGCCATTATGTCATTGTAAAATTTAAAAATGTTCGTCACTTATAATAAATATTTATATACTAAAAACTTGTTAAGATTATTTATCTTATCTGCCCTAATTCTAACACCGCGCATAGTTCCACCACTATGGGAGTCGTTCCTCTTACTCTCAGTGTATATCGTGTCTCGTGTTGTGTGTTCCCTGTTTGGTTGCGGGAACACACAACGCGAGACACAATATACACTGTGAGTAAGAGGAACGACTCCCATAGTGATGGAACTATGCGCGGTGTTAGAATTAGGGCAGATAAGATAAATAATCTTAACAAGTTTTTAGTATATAAATATTTATTATAATTGACAAACATTTTTAAATACTTTTTAAATTTTACAATGACATAATGGCAAGCAATGAAATAGATTAGCGTAAATGGAGCTCCTGATGATGGCACTATAGTGCCGAAACATGTTGTGAAATAACAAGTGAAATTGAGTGCCCTAAAAGACGGACGCTGCATACATATCATGGACGAAAATCAGTGCAACAGGACGCTAAAATACAACATTGTGTTAACACAAGACACAAACACTGTCTTCATAAACCAATTGCTAACCTCTCATGCTTTCAGAAAAGTGCATATTATGCTGGGATCAATATTTTTAATAACCTGCCATCTGATCTCAAAGGTCTTATGAATGAAAAGTCACTATTTAAAATAGCACTGAAACAATACTTAAATACACATTCATTCTACTCTGTTGATGAATACTATAACTGACCGCTTCACTGAGATTCCAAGCCCCACACATTGGTCATCAGTTTTTCTTATAACCATTCCCCCTCCCATTCTTGTGTCAATCTCTTTTTCTGTCGACTTTGAATGTCCACTTACATTAACTGTCGTCACTGGTTGCTGGCTGCTGGGCTGGCTTTACCCTGATCCACTTCATCATACTTACACACCCCCGATCTTTAGGATAATAGGTTTAGTTTGGGTGCCAGTAAACTGATGCTGTCAGTTTACAGTGTATGAAAGAGTTGAAGGATTGATAAGGGGGTACTGTGGTGGATAGCTAGTTCTTCTGTAGAGCTAAGATACTGTTCTCAAGGTCGTTTGGCAGGGTCTCACTTAGAAAGGGGAGTGGGAAACTCCTGTGATAACACACACACACACACACACACACACACACACACACACACACACACTGTTCCACAAGACACTTTATTCCTGCTAGGTTGATGATGACTGCCTTGGAAACACTTGGTTACCCTTGCTTATTAAGTTGGGTATCACACTGATTTTTGTCCGAATACTGAACTGTTCACTGGGTTTCAAATATAATTCCGATATTATAAATTCCACTTAACTTGTACTTCAATTTACTGTTTCAATCACACTTTATGACACACAGCTTATACTTTTGAACACTTTAAGCATAGTACGTCCACAAATTTTACATAATTTATTACAAATTTGGGAGGGATGCAGATTTTGCGTCCAAATGGTTCTTGAGCCGGAAAACAACTAACTTAGCAGAATGACTTCTCAAAACTCGGAGTCCCGACTGTTTTCTCTTGGTCCACAAGTCAACTCCCTAAATTTCAAGGATTGGTCACTTTTGAAAAATAGGAGTACACTTAATTAACTATTCCTCCAATCTGTTTAAGGATTACAGGGGATTTAGACTCTTAAGGCTGAACGTAATTTTTGACAGTAACTTGATAAATGCTAAGCTTGGCTTGGGTCTAAGGAAACCACCTCCCTTTAAGTTAGGATGTTCAAAACTGTCATATATCATGTTCTCAAAGGATTCTGAGAAGCAAAATTTCTTGTAAATTTCTAAGAAGAAATCTGTGGGTGTCCTTCCTGTTTCACTTTGCATCTGTGATAACCAGTCGTTTTTCCTCTTTTTTTCATTTGAGAGTCAGGCTAAGCCTCCTTCCTGAGAGCAAGAAATAGCCTATGTACCTCTTGTCCGTTTACTGTATGTACAAGTAAACCTAACCGAACGTGGTAATTAATATGGATCAATACAGGATACTAAATTAAATCAAGCTGAGGCTGGCAGCTCGGTTACAGTACCTGTTGTCTAGAAAATAACTTATCACTGTGTATTCTTGGTTTCTCTTGTGTGATAACTCGATTGGGTCTGTACATATGTTTTTATTTATATGACATATTCCACATCCTACAGTCATTTTGACTAACTTTGGATCCATGGAATGCAATGTAAAAAAATGGAAGATGCATGTGGGTCATTACAACAACATGATCTATAAAGTTTCAAATACATGTTGTGCCTTGGAGCCAATAATTTGATGTGTAATGTGAATGTTGACTGAAGTGTTGTGTGTTTACTCTTTGTTTCTTTGGTACTTTGAGTAGCTCAGATCACGTAGTTGAGTCATAGGATGATAAAGCGTAATGAATTTGGCCTAATTTGCCTGGAGCAACTGAGCATCAGGATAGCTGGTCTCTGGGCCAGTATTTGAATCCTGGACCTCACAGATATGAAGCAGGTGTACTGAATGGTTGGCCACAACAAGTGCTGCTTGTAACTGTGTTACTGTTTCCATTTTGGATATTTATCTGCTATGACATTGTTGTTTACTTTCAGCTTGAGGGTTCGTGGCCAGCACACAAAGACAACAGGAAGGCGTGGAAGAACTGTTGGTGTGTCAAAGAAGAAATAAAGTTTTTGTATTCATCAGCTTACAGATTATGCTGTCATATTAAATAAATTATAAAAAAAAAGAGTATTTAGTGTGTTTATTTCTTTTACCTGTTTAATCACTGCACTAGACATATTCCAGGCAGATGAAGATACCAGTATGCTATTGCATGTAGACCACTGAAGTTTTTTTGCTGGCTGGAGAAATGGAGAGGTTGCAAGTTCTCTTGTGATGAGAGGTCAGGACATGTAGGTCATGTGGGAATGAAGAGAGATGTGTACAAAATTCCAGTAGGAATACATGAAGGAAAGAGGCCACTTGGAGTTTAGATCAGAGGATAATATTAAAATAAATCTTAAAAGAAATAAGATGGGTGGTTGTGGGCTGGATTCATTTGGCTGAGGATAGGGACCAGTGGTGGCTTCTAGTGAAATGTTAGTGAATCTTCAGGTTGCATAAAATGCTGGGAATTTGTTTGTTAGCCAAGCAACTATTAGCTTCTCAAGAAAGACTTCAATTTGTGGAGTTAATAGGTTCTGCTGATTACTTAGCAGTTGTACACAGTATGGCTTATGTTTCTCCTCCTGCACTCTGGAGAGTCATAACAAGAAAGTAGTGCTCCAAGCCCCAGATGGCAGTGCTTTGCTTGGTGCTGATCTGCTTGAAGTAATAACTTCATTTTTTTGTACATCTGCAGTTGTCAGCAAACTTGTCATATGGCCTGTATAAAGAACTTAATTATTCTATTTTTCTATTACAATGAAATATCAGTTTTATAAATTGTACTTTATTAATACATATTCTCTGACTTCAACCACATTTTGTATTTAAAATCTTCATGTTTGTGTGTTCTTTTGCACCTTCTATAAAGTGAATTGATTTTGGGAGAAGTCTTGTTTGAGTTCTCAAACCACACAGCAGGTTTTTAGTTGTGGAAACTGCATTGAAGACATTCCAGTAGGTTCGATTTTTGCCCATATTTGTTCCTTACATGAAATAAATTCAGTATTACATTATTTTAAAATATAAGATCTTCCATTTCGCTGAGGAATGAGGGATACAAAATTATGAAGACTACCAAAAATGACCCATATCTTTCAATCTTTGGTTTGTCCCATGTTGCTGTTCCTGTGTAAAAAATGTAAGTTATTTATGGAATTTAAGTGTGCAAGTAAAGATCAATTTCATGAACCGGGGAGCAAGCAGCTGTAGCGTATCTGAGGGAACTGCCCAGAGGGACAGGAAAATCACAAAGAATGTCTGAGGAACTGTCAGTGTTTAAGCCAATGTAGAAACTGGATACATCCCAAATACAAGTCAAAACTGTTACCACTTGGGCTGTTACTTGGATTGATACTGTTTTTATTTTATGTTTGTTGTACCAATAGCTGAATAATTTCAAATTCATTTCAGGCAGCAAGCAGTGCCACTTCTTGCTGGGTTTACTGTTTAATACTGAAGATGGTGCTGGTAAGTTCCTGCAAAACGTAGGACTTCAGCTGATTGCTCAGATTAGAAGATATTAACTCTTCATGCTCACCACTGTGAGAACATCAAATCTAACATAATATTTTAGGCACTGGTTATGGAAGTTAAATAAAATGTGTTCTGTAAATGTTTTATTGAAATTTTTCTGCACTTTACAAAATTGGTAACCACTTGTCATTTTCATTTGTGTTGTAGGACAATTAGATAGGAGATAATGGAAGGATGCTGAAAGATAATGCTGCCTGCTTACCATTTATGGACATAACAGTGAAGTGTCAAAAGGAAGGAACAAAAACAATGATTCATTTAAAAATCAGATCGGAAAATATCAAGGGAACCTCTTGTGAATCCTGTGTTACTGGTACGCTAATCGTTTATGGGTCATGACATGTTTATGCTTTCACTAGGCATTCTTGACAGATTACAGTGAAATTATTTGTTGTATGATATTTTAAGATTTCCTGCTGTTACGCAGTTTATTGAAAAGCAGTAAAAACAAATCATTAATGCCTTCTCTTTACTGTCTCTTAGAGATGATGTATCACAATATTCATATGAAAAACTTGCAATAAATCTTTTTAATGTAGTGGAAACATTTTTCCTGACAAGATCACCACACTATATAAATACTCATCTGTAAGAGGATTAACATTGAAGATTACCACAGACAGTTTTTGAAGAAGTGAATTTGAATGAACTTGCACAAATTTTGTAATCATGGTAATGAAATTTTGGCTCCCGTGAATAAGAATTTTCATTAATTTATGTGAGTGATTAAAAACTGCTCAAAGACACTGCACCATGATATTGTTTCGTTAGTGGGTGCAAATGGTAACGAGAAAAAAAGTAAATGCAGTGTTAACTCCTTTCATCAAAATTCCAAGTTTGCACAGTGAAAGGCGCTGATGACTGGCCACTTTGGAATGATCTTAACCCCTTGATGATTTAAATGATAGCACGAGTCCATGCAGTGTGCAATTTGAAGAGGGAGGGGGTTGTTGGTGGAATGCTGTGCAACAATGAATGGAATTTCTAAGCAAGATGATGTGACATGAACAGTAGACAGTGGATTCGTTAAGCATGTCTCCTACTTGTAATCATCGTGATTTAAAATAAATACCTCATAGTCACAACATCATTCTTGATGTGGTTCTTTATTAATATTTTACCTCAGTTAAATATCCCCTGCAATGCTTCCTATTATGAAATTAAATTTGAAAGGCCCAGAACAGGAGTAGAGTTATACTATGCTGGGTAGTTAATCATTTATTAACGATGAAATGGAAAGTATGTGAAAGGAAGCAATGATACCGACTCAGCAGGCACTGAGAAAAACTGCCAAATCTCAGTAAGGCTGATATTCAGGCTTAGCTTCAATGCAGGATGTCATAAATATGAAAGAGGAAGTAAGCTCATGAGCTAGTGGCCTCCGTAGTCTAGGGGTAACGTTCCCACCTCATGACTCAAGGTACGCGGGTTCAAAAACCCGGCGGAGGTCGTGGAATTTTTAAGGGCGGAAAAATTCAGGGAACAAGTCCTCCGGGAGGGACTTTAAGCCGTGGGTCCTGTGTCGTAGATTTACAGCACATAAAAGAACCACATGTCTCTAAGAGACCGCTGAGCAAAATTAGGCCCAACATTTCCCGCCCAAAGTAGTTTCCAATGCCTCCGGTATATGGGGAAGTATTAGGTACCACTGCCAGAGGAGGGACAACCTCTCTGACAGAAAGGGACTAAAGTATTAGATACCACTGCCAAGTAGAGGGTAGAAACCTTGCTGGCAGAAAGGGACTAGGAACCCCTGCCAGAGGAGGGACAACCTCTCTGACAGAAAGGGACTAAAGTATTAGATACCACTGCCAAGTAGAGGGTAGAAACCTTGCTGGCAGAAGGGGCTAATAGCGAGCACCAGTACCGGTAGTGGATGGAGACTGTAGAAATTAAAAAGGGGGACGTACAATAGACTATCAGTCGCGGTGCATGGGGAAACCCACCCCCTCAATACTGAATCACTGAATCACTGAAGCTCATGAGCTGGTTCCAAAAGGTCCCATGATTGAGGTTAGATCATTCTAAGGAACTCAACAGAGTAAGTGTCTCCCCCCTCTCACCTGAGGAAGGAAACGGATCCAGTTTCTGAAATGTTGTGTTCTTTAGAGTCCAGAATACCAGACAATAGACAAAGTCCAAAATCCCAATAATTCTAAGCTCATTAAGCTACTTCCACAACTTCTTGTTTAGATGAAGTGTTTATTTTGTCCAGTGTGTATACTTAGCATTACTAGCTTTCTGGACTTTGTCCATCTTCTGATACTATAAATCAGTTGACAACTGCACAGAGTACAGTGATTAATTGAAGTTTTTGTAATGGCCCTGTCCGAGTAGGTACCATCTAAAGATGAGCAGATCTGAGTCCCAAAAATTATGTTCTGGTTTACAACACTGTACAATGGATGAAGTTCAGAAAGCTTGTCTAAACCTAAGTGCAGTACACCATTATCAGATACCTTCAGAATCGACCCATTGATTGCAATGCATACTTATGTTTTTGTATGTTGTTTATATACCACTATTCTTTACTTACTGAAGTAGTGAAACATTTTGGCACTTGTACTGTATTTACTGTGATATCCATTTGTTATTAAACACCATCCCCTGATCCAACTACATTCAGAATCTTTGCCATTGTTTTACCAGACTTCAGTGCTTTGTATCTGAGGAGTGTTTCAACTAACCAGTGCTGATTCATTGACCCAGGTTCACACACAATAAGAAGGCACCCGAACAAGCTATATACCCACAAGACCCAAGTTGTATATGTACAGCTGATGGAATTACTGGCCAACCAGGAATGGATTCCTTAAAACAGATGTCTTAGTATTACCATCATTAGCAAGGGAAATACTGACACATCTGCTTGTGACTGTTTGCCATTTAGAATTGTCTTCCCAGGCCCCACGTAGGGTTCTAGGTTTGTTTTGTTATAGTTTTGAAAGTACCAGTCCATGGAAGAGTTTGTAGTGGTGCCAGGAGGTAGCTGCGAGTGGGACTTTGCTGTGCTTGGTTCAGTACGTCGCAGATAATCTTCTGTGGGTACTGGCAGAGAAGCTGAAGGTGATGTTGAGGATGAAATTTTGGTGATGGTTGGGCGTCCTCCTTGTAGGCGGAACTGGGGCTGTTGACCTCCAGGTACCAGCAAGGCAGACAGCGATGAGGGTGAGTCTCGGTTCCGCTTCCCAGATATCATCCCCCACAAATTGCCAAGTAAAGTTGGGCTTGAGGTCTGTGTTGGCTGTTGAGTCTCTGTGGCATGGCACAGTGGTATGTAAGAACTTAATTTTAATTTTAAAAATAAGAATAGAATGGCATACTCTATCTAGTCTGGAGTACACAGATTATTGAAAGATGTGTAATGTGATTTTGCTTTTCTAATTTTTGTTGATATTCATATATTCCAAATTCTATAGCATGTAGAGCAGACAGCAATACAGATACTATACTAAATCATGTTTTTCACACAGCTGTCGAAAGTAAAGTGACTCTGGAATTTTATTAGCAGTAATATAATAGATACGTAATTGGTAGGTAGCCAGTTAAGATTCAGATTTTCCATTATTCCTTGCTCCAGGTGGGATACTATCCTCCATCAATATGGGATCACTGAACCCTCTTATTCAATACAGCACAGTATAACATAACACACTTTAGTGTCCTGTTGTTACACCCAGATTACTGAAATGTGTGTAAAAATGGCATATAAATGAACTAGTTTGGTAGTGTCATTCGATGAACAATTAAAACTTTTTGAGAGAAGAACCATGTGGACAGACATGACCACATTATCTGCTCTCTTTATGAACTTCTTGCAAAGAACATATAATTTATTTCTTGGGTTTTCTTTGGCTTATATCTAAGGTTAATTTTGGCTTTTGGGGGTTAGCCATGTCATGTGTTGAAGTTGTTCCAATATTTTGGTGTACGTTCAGGATGAATGAGGTTGGAGGAGGATGAGGCCTGCTACGTAGGCCTCACAAGCGAAGCAAGGGTGGGGCAGTGCAGTGGCATGGCTCAAGCAATGGGAGCCTGGTGCCATCCAATGGATCTTCTTCTATGGCGCAACAGCCCAATGTCGGGCCTTGGCCTCCGTTATCAAGCCCCTCCATTCCTCTCTATCCTGTGCTGCTCTCTTCCAGTTCCTTATGCCCATTGACTTCTTTGCATCTTCTTCCACCGCATCAATCCATCTAGTTCTTGGTTTCCCTGCACGTCTCCTACCACCTATTGTACTGTATAATATTTTCTTTGGGATACGCTCCTTATATAATTTGTATAACTCTTTATTATATCTTATTCTCCATATCCCATTCTCTTTTATTGGTCCATAAATTTGTCTTAGGATTTTCCTCTCGAAAGAATTGATGACTGATTCCTCTTTCTTGTTTAGTGTCCAACCCCTCACATCCATAATAAAGCACCGGTCTTATCATTGTTTTATATATTTTTGTTTTAATCGCTTGGTGTATATCCTTTGATCTAAAAACTGATAGTAATGAGAAATATGCATTATTCGCTAGTTTTATTATTCTTGTTATTTCATGATTTTCCTCTCCATCTTTGTGGAATTTTGATCCTAAATATATGAAGTCTTCAACTATTTCTATCCCGTCCCCTTCCATGTTAATTTCTCCAGTTTGCCTTGAATTCCTTCTGGATTGTATCAGCATTTTAGTTTTATTTACATTCTCCTCTAAGCCAGTTGTTTTTGCTATGGTTTTTATTTCTTTATGTGTCTCCTTCATTGCTCTTAGGGATCTCAATACTATAATAATATCATCCGCATACGCCATTATTTGCGTTTGTTTATACGCTATTGTGTTCCTTGTGTCTACATTACATTTCCTCACTATATATTCCAATACCAAATTAAATAGTGATGGTGCCAAACTATCACCCTGTTTTAATCCTTGATTTGTCTTAAAGCATTCCGTTAACTGGTTCTGGATTTTAACTTGATTGACTGTTTCTGTCATGGTTAAGTTAATTATTCTACTTAGTTTTGTTGGAATACCAAAAGTGGACATAATCATCCTTAATTTCTTCCTTATTATTGTATCATATGCTTGTTTAAAATCTATGAAGCATAGGTAAATATCTGTATTAAATTCCCAGCATTTCTCTGTTATTTGTCTCAGGATGAATAAATTGTCTATTGTTGACCTATTGGGTCGAAATCCTGATTGATATTCCCCTATTATTTTTTTCTATATATGGATCCAGTCTCTTTTTTTAGTATCCTTGTTAAAATTTTATATGCTGTCGGTAGTAATGATATACCTCTATAGTTACTACATGTTGATTTAGCCCCTTTTTTAAATCTTTTTCCCAATCTTCTGGTATCTTTTCTTCTTCCCACACATTATTTCTAATTCTGTAGAGTGTTATTATTCTTTCTTGTC